ACTCATTTCCAGCCAAGTTTTGTTAAGCTCCAGAAAAACATACCCATGCTTACCTATGTGTTTCTTAGCATAGGGGAAGCTCTGGATGTTACAACACTGCCCAGCCTGCCAGCAGACAGCTCAAACCAGGGCAAAGCCTTACCCAGGACCCATCTACTCCTCTCCTGTAGCACCACAAGGCTGGAGGGCCCAGCACTGGCTCAGGGTCACTGCTGTGTACAGTGGGATCCTTCTTCCAATAGGACCAAGTCCATCTCCCCAGCAGAACCCCCAAAAAGCTGAGCAACTGCCATCAGGAGCAGATCTCACCCATGTGAGTGAGAACCCTGGCCTCTGCATGAAGCTCTGTGTTAAGTCATGCTCTAGGAGCCCACAGTGCCAGCACAGGGCAGGTTAGGGTGCCAGAATTTCATCCATGATCATTCCAAGGATTAGTCTCATACATCCAACCCCCTGGGACTATCCCCCCAGAGCCACTTTGACAGTAATGCACTGCAGCACCACAGCACATCCTAAACCCAAGCCTTGACCTGAAAAGCCTGAAAGGACAGTGATGAGCACACAGCTCTGCAAACTCCACACTGTTCCTGACTGGCAGGATGCCAAGAGACTCACCATGTCACTGAGGGCCTCATCTACACAGTTTGTGAATGCTTCCAGGGACAGCGTCTCCACCACTGCCCTGGGCAGCCTGTCCCAGTGCCTGACCACCCTCTTGGGAATAAATTGTTTCTAATCTCCAGTCTAAACCTCCTCTGGTGCAGTTTGAGGCTGTTTCCTCTTATTACTTGGGAGAAGAGTCTTTTTCCCTCCCACCGCCCTCATTTCTGCTGGAGAACTGCCTGGGGGCAGTGCAGGAATGATCTGGGAGTTTCCAGTTCCCAGGAGTGTTGCCTCTGCTGGCCCTCCCCGAGTCTTGTCTTACCTCCCCACAGCCAGGAGGCAAGGAGCATTGCCTGTGGAAGAGGCTGGATGGATGTCTGCTCCCAGAGTAAGCACAGGTGGAGCCTGGCACCCTGGGCAGTCCTCCCCACTGAGGGACCAAGGGCCTTGCTGCAGCCTCCTCAGAGCATGCAATGGGTGACAGCTGATCCCAGTGGGATCCCCACTTACCAATGGGGTACTTGTGCTTGTCCGTGTCAATGCCAGCATAGACCACCCCTCCGAACAGGTCGTACATGACTGCCGCCAGCGCCTCTGCATTGAGCATCCCATGCAGAGCCCCCACAAACACAGTCTTGCTGGGGTCGAGCCGCTGCGACGGGCTGCGCACAAAGTTGCTGTCTGCCAGCACCCACGGGATCACCTGCACCTGCAAGCACACACCACAGCTCGGTCAGCCAAGGGCCTGCAAGCCACATGCTGTGCTGTCCCACCGCAGCTCAGCTGAGGGGAGCAGCCAGCCCAGGCCTTTGCGCTTGACCCCAACCTGCAAGTGTCACTATTGCTGCTCAGTGTCTATGCCCAGAGCTCTGGAGCTCCAGCTTTGCTCCAGACACCTCCAAGAGCCCACAAAACCCAACAGCCACACTGCTCCACTTCCAGCCAGATGGGAATCCAAAGTACTGGTCCCTCAGGGCTGGAAGCCAGGATACAATCCATGTACCAGTGGATTCCTCCTGCTTCCTGCACACTCTGTTTACAGCCCAGTCAGATGCCTTCCAGCATGGGAAACCCATGAAACAACTCATCCGTGGCCAATTTCAACAGGAGCTTCCATCTGCAGAGCAGCTGATACAGGGCTCTGAAGAGGATAAACTTCCATGAGCACTAGATCACCAAGCATGAAAGCAGTGCCAACAGCCAGACACCAGGAGAGCTTCTGGAGCACAAGGAGTTTGTGCCTGCCTAGGTAAGAGCTGAATCTCAGTCCTTTAACTCCACAAGCTCATGCAGCTGTACCCCATCTATAGCTACATTCCCCCTTCACCAGGAGGCTGAGCTCAGCCCCAGCACCTCCACAGGTCAGCCAGCCACGGCCACACTGGGGAGAGGATGCAACTTCAGCTGTGGATCCAAAATACCTGCCTGTAGTGAGCACAAGAGCCACTTGTTCAGCAAACTGGGGAGGTCTAGCAAAGCACTAAAGGGGATCAAAGTTTGTCCCTGTAAGCAAAGGTGGACTGAAAGGAGCATGAAGCAGAAAAATCCCTGCTCCTGTGCTCCTTTGCAGCTGCACGAAGCTGCTTGGCTTCATGAAACCAGGGTCTTCCACAGGTCCAGGAGCCCCATGTCACAGTTCCAGACAAGCTGTTGCAAAGGACACAGACCTGTCATTTCCCTCCTTGCCCACATCCAGCTCTTCTACAGGAAGATCAGTTGAAGAGAGCCAAGAGCCAATCGACTTCTGCTGCTCTTTTTTAGCCCTGCTTTCCTAGAGCAGAGCAACGCTGCCCACCCCCTTGCCTCCAAGGATCTCATCAGCATCTCATCCTGTTATCTGCAGGGCAACTCTCACAGGTCTGCTCACCTCTTTGCAGCGCATCCTGCGGCTGGACATCTTGAAGTAGTATTCAGAGAGCCCATCAGGGCTTAGCAAGTCCTGGGAGCATGCCTGGAGCAGAGCACGCACAGATTTCTCTGACTCAAACACCAGGTAGACATATCCTTTAGAGGTAAATGGAAAAAAACCAGTTGTTAGAATTGTAGCAGAGGAGAAAGATCACCCCTGTTTGCAGACACCCTCAAAATCACTCTCAGATGCCAAAATATCTGCACTTCGTTAGTTCCTTGCTATTCACAAGCTCTTCTAGGGGAGGGTGATTCGCAGTCCCACCCCACATGACCCACCTGAGACACACAGAGCTCAGCCAAGCTGGGAAAGAGCCCAAACCCAGCACGAGGGGGCAGGTTGTCCACATCCAGTGCCATGTGGACCACTGTCCATCCCCCACTACATCTAGATCTGACAGGCACCACCAGCCTGAGCACAGCATGGTCTGCAGGAAAACAGACTGCTTCATATCTCAGATGTCTACGCCCAGAAATACAAGTTTGGGGCTTTAAAAATCACTTCCCTCAGCACCAGCACGCTGCACCTCACACTGTGCTAGTGACTGAATGAGGCCACTGGGCACCATCAAGCCTACAAACTAGTTACTCCTCACTGAGTAACTCATCGTTACTTACACAACATATCAGCCCAGCTACCTCAGGCAGAACACCCCAGGCACTGCTCAGCTCCCCAGTTCCTGAGCTGCCAGCTCACTGCAGATACCTTTGGATTCCAGGGTACATGTAGGCAATCAGGGCAAGCCAGACCCTTGTGGGGCTCCAGAAGCACCAGAGAGGACTCCCCCCACCCCACACTCTTCCCAGCCCTACTAGGGACATGGGGAACACCAGGTTCAAGGTAACAGTGCTCTGGTGCTGACCCAAGTGAGTGTGGGACATTTACCCTAGGGTGCTCTGTACCATCCAGTCACCAGCATGCAGCCGTACCAGCCCAGATCCGTGCTGTAACATAGCATGGGAAAAAAGTAACCCTACCGTGTCGCTATTACCTTTAGGCATATTACCTTTGGGAGGGCAGCGTGGGTGTTTGCCATCCTTACCAGGCCACTCCACACTCAGGGAGCCAAACACACGGAAGGTGTTGATCAGTCCAGCTACAGATAGAAGGACAGGAGTCAGTGTCCAAAAAATAAAAGGTCCACCCCACACCCTCGTGATGGCAAAACCCACAGCATGGGGCCAGGGGCTGCTCACCTTCCGTAATGTCCCACGGGACTCCTCCCAGGAACACTTTGCAGGAGTAAACAGGGTTCTTGTAGTTTCGGGGAGGCAGCTGTCCACTCCAGGTGCAGGTTGCTTCATTCACAGCTTGGACAAGCACCAACAACACTCAGTACAGGACCATTTACTTCACACCCTGCCACAGGTCTCCAAGCAAATCCCCATATTCCACAGCCCTACGTTCAGCAG